ACTCCCAGAATTCTCCAGCCAGCTCTGCAGAGCTGGCTGGAGAATTCTGGGAGTTGAAGTCCACAAGTCTTAAAGTCGCCAAGTTTGGGAACCACAGATCTAGAGGATGGGAGGGCACTAGTTCCAATTCCCTTGCCTTGATAGGTACCGGTAGCACTTGCAACAGACAGAGCCATTGAGGCACAGTGGTTAGAGTGCAGCATTGCAGGCTGACTCTGCCCACTGCCAGGAGTTTGATCCTGACTGGCTCCAGGTTGACTCAGCCTTCCATCCTTCTGAAGTGGGTCAAATGAGGGCCCAGATTGTTGGGGAGGGCAAGAGGCTGACTCTGTCAACCGCTTAGAGGGGGGCTGTGAAGTGGCGTATAAGTCTTAAGTGCTGTTGCTAGTCCTTGACTTACAACCACGTGTGAGCCCAAAATTTCAGTTGCTAAGCGAGGCGATCGTTAAGTGAGTTTCTGCCCCGTTTTACGACCTTTCTCGCCCCAGTTGTGAAGGGAAATCCCTGCGGCTGTTAAGTTAGTAACTCCGTTGTAAAGTGAATCTGGCTCCCCATCGAGGTCGCAAAAGGGGATCGCATAACCCTGGGACCCTGAAACCGTTATAAATAGGAAGCAGTTGCCAAGCATGCAGAATTTGATTGCACAGCTTGTGGGGGAGGCTGCAACGGTCGTAAGTGTGAAAAATGGTCATCGGACACAACGAACGGTTGTAAGTCGAGGGCTTTATTTATTGGGAGCGTTTTAGGCAAGCAGCCAGCAGCCCCCTGAACGTCTGTCGCCTGTTTAGCTCGAGGCTTTCTTTTAACTTTTGCACTGTCCTTCCATACACAGTTTGAAGCCTCTTCGGTCTTTCTTTTCTTCCCATTTAAAGTCACTGCCGGGAGTTAGAAGGAAACTCACTTCCCCACTCCCACTTCTCCAGCAAAAGAGGCCAGGAAACACAGACGTCAAGGAATGGAAAGAGTTCGACCAGTAAGCAGTCCTCCGGTTCTCTTTAAATAGCATTTTATCTAAAAATCTAAATCTAATCTAATCTTTTTTTAAATTTTGCAATCTTGGCTTTTCTCCCACTCCTGAACATGTGTGGATTCAGAGCGGATGATGGTTTTACATTATTTGG